GTCCCAATAAAATAGGATTTAAGAAAATTATTTTTGGGTTGTCACACGGAAGGGGGGTGGTAGGAGCCGACCCACCGTTGTAGTGGTTGGTGAGGCGATCCCTGAGGTCACCCACAGACCTCACAGAAAGGGTTCATTGCTGACTGGCGGTCCCGTTGAGGTCGCCCCTGGTCGGGGAGGCACGATTGTTACAGGAGCCGTTCGAGTTACGTGACTTGGATCTCGACCTTGCCATAGCTAGTGCATTATGGAGCACGCTCGAGCTTACACGTCAACTCTCAACAAGAGCACCAATGATGGATTTAATTAATCCAGGGTAGCCCGAATTACTAAACCCGATAATAAAGAATAAATAGTAAAATGGGAAAGACAAAGAATATATATCGCGGAAACAATTCTTACATTGATATCGTGTTTGTATGAAGATTACAAGTAGTTGTAATAATTAGACAAGATATTAGATGTCCTAAGCAAGACAATGATGAGGCATTTTATACTAACTTCCTCTCAACCGCCCCATGAGAATAGGGTGGGCGGTTGGATCGCCCTTTGACCGAGTCCACGCACGTAGCGCGCAAAGTCGAGAGCACCCCGGGCCAAGGCCGCTGCTAGCCGAGGGCACCCCATGTCGAGGTCGCCGCTAACTGTGAGCACCCTTGGTCGAGGTCGCCTCCAGCTTAGGTTGCCTCTAGCCGAGGTCTGAGGTCGACCAGCTGAGGTCGCCTCCAGCCAAGGTCCGAGGTCATCTCCAACCGAGGTTTCCTCGAGCTTCCTGGGTTGGCCTGCTTCGAGCCCGTTTATAATATCTCCATCATTCATCTACCATCATATTCTAGATTTCACACTTATGGGCTTCCACCAATATATGAAAATTTCAACATGGGAAATTTCACATTTAAGCCTTTAAGGGACATAATAAATCAAATTTATAAAACTAAGGTTTGCAATAAACCGTGCTTCCACGAGAATATATCACAATATTGTCAAATAAATTCACAATATATCACAAAAGATATTACTAATTCACAATATATGACAATAAATTGAATAAATCAAATTTATAAAACTAGGGTTTGTAATAAACAGTGTTTCCACCAGAATATATCACATTATTGTCAAACAAATTCACAATATATCACAAAACATATTATAAATTCGCAATATGTGACAATAAATTGAAGAAATCAAATTTATTAAATTAGGGTTTGTGATAGCTTCCACCATAATATATCACAATATTGTCAAAGAAATTCACAATATATCACAAAAGATATCACGAATGAACAATATATGACAATAAATTGAATAAATCAAATTTATAAAACTAGGGTTTGCGATTTACTTCGTTTCTCCCAAACACCCCGAAGAACAAGGGCTTCTTTGCACAGATATCACCACTCGAAGGGTCTACGACACCACCACTCCACCAGTAGGGCTTCCACCACTTGAACAGAACCCACGGCCACCGGACTACCGAAGTACAGAACGGGTGGAAGAAGATAATGAACTATAGAGTATAGAGAACTCAAAGTCTCACTGTCTCAAACTCTCATAGAAATTAGAAAATCATAGAAGAGAGAAGTCAGAGCTCAAAGATGAGAGATTGAAAGAAGAGACTAGAGAGAAAACCCTAGCAAGAGATGGTGAATGCGTAAATGAGGAGAGACTAAAGGGCTTCGTCATTTTATATATATATATATATATATATATATATATATATATATATATATATATATATATATATATATATATATATATATATATATATACATACATACATACTAAGTCGAAACGACGTCGTATAGTACTAACCAAACGTAACCCTGTATTAGTTCGGATATTCGGGCAGGTCAGATATGAAAATATCTCCCCCCCCCCCCCCCCCCCCCCCCACCTGAATCCTCTAAACAGACGTCGTATCAGGTGTTGGTTCGAATTTTTTTATTTCATCCTCGGCTTGGTTCGGTTATGCTTATTCGAATTTCGGTTCGGCCGATTTTTTCAAGTTGGCCGGGAATTGCTCAACCCTAATGTTCTCAGCTTACATAACCTATTACAATTTACCATTAACAAATTATGTATCTATTAGAATTAACATATTATGTACATTCATATTATTTACAAGTACATAATCAATTAAATGAAAATACATTATATTTTAATTACATGTACATAATACATAATTTAAAATTTTAAATGTTGTTTGGATCACGATTCACATATAAAGTGAGTTCTGGCCCATGGTATAATATTGAGATAAAGTACAAATAAGTCACTGAACTATTTGGGAAACAACAATTAAGCCATCGAACTCGATCAAATAACCCCCAAATAAGCCACTGAACCTGGAAAAAAAAAAAAAAAAAAAAAAAAAAAAAAAAAAAAAAAAAAAAAAAGCAACTAACATTTTTGAACAAGTTAAATCTTGCTGATGGGATTGCTAAATGTTTATTTTATTTACATTTTTTATTATTATTATAATCCACCTACATAGTAATATATTTTAAAGTAATTATAATCAAAATAGTTTGGTTGTCCATATCTAATTTATTTATTTATTATTATTTTTTTAAATGGAAGATCTAGTGAAAAAATAATAATAAATAAATAAATCAAATCTCGAAAAGACAAAATTATTGGGATTATAATTACTTTAAATAACATTTTCACATATTAGAGTGTATAAATATCGAATGAAACTGTAGTTATATTGAAATGAAACTGTAATTGTGTTGAACTGAAACTGCATTGTATACAAAATGAAACTGAATAAAAGAGTTACTTTTTGCGGAACGGTGCGAAATGTGTGCCGTTTCTTTTCATTAAACAAAACGACGTCGTTTTGAAGTTCGATGCATAATCAATTATGCACCGCGGTACACGATATAATTTGCCGAGAAAATGTAGTCGTTATATCGTGCACCGCGGTGCATAATCGATTATGCACCGCGCGTCAAAATGGTGCCGTTTCTGCAGTTATAATGGAGTGACACTACAGTGTGTCTAAACCGACACTGTCTCATGTATTATTTTTATATTATCAAATGAAACTGCAGTTATATCAAAATGATACTGTAGTTGTGGTGAAATGAAACTACAGTATATATAAAATGAAACTGAATAACATTTCACATATTTGAGCGTATAATATTGTACAATGAAGCTGTAATTATATTGAAATGATCATGTAGTTGTGTTTTAATGAAACTATAGTGTATATAAAATAAAATTAAATAACATTTTCACATATTTGAGTGTATACATATTGAATGAAATTGTAGTTATATCGAAATGAAACTGTAGTTGTGTTAAACTGAAACTGCAGTGCATACAAAATGAAACTGAAGAACAGAGTTATTTTTTAGGGATAAAGTACAAATAAGCCACTGAACTATTTGGGAAACAGCAATTAAGCCATCGAACTCAAATAACTCTCAAATAAGTCATTGAACCCGGAAAAAAAGAGCAAATAAGCCATTGAACCCTGAAAAAAAGAGCAATTAACATTTTTTAGAGGTTAACTCCAGATTTTTGCTGATTGGATTGCCAAATGTTTATTTTATTTACGGTTATTATTATTATTATTTTTTATTAATATTATCCACTTGGATAGTATTATATTTTAAAGTAATTATAATCAAAATAGTTTTGTCTTTGTCGAGATTTGATTTATTTATTTATTATTATTTTTTCACTGGATCTTTTGTTTAAAAAATAAGAATAAATAAATAAATTAGATCTAGACAAGACAAAATTACTTTGATTATAATTACTTTAAAATACTATGTAGGTGCGGATTATAATAATAAAAAAATTGTAAATAAAATAAACATTTGACAATTCAGTCAGCAAAAACCTAGAGTTAACCTGTTAAAAATGTTAATTGCTCTTTTTTTCGGGTTCAATGGCTTATTTGAGGGTTATTTGAGTTCGATGGCTTAATTGCTTTTTCCCAAATAGTTCAGTGACTTATTTGTACTTTATCCCTATTTTTTACAAAAATATGTCGTTTTGATGCGCGGTGCATGATCGATCATGCACCGCGGTACTCGATATAATTTGCGGAGAAAATGTTATTGGGCCTTATCGCAATTTCAGTAAAGACCTAATCAATCAGCCCAATACATACATATAAATATAGTTGAGGAACTAACTTTTCAATCGTTATGCGTTGGACCCGTGTCCAGCATGCTTGCTGGACACGGGTAACAGTGCCGTTAGGCACTGTTATCTCCTTTTTTTTTTTTTTTTTTTTTTTTTTTTTTTTTTTTAATTTCAGACCGCTTCATTGTAAGAGTATATGTTCATAATTTTATTCCTATATGTTAATACTATACATTCATAACTCCATAACTGTACGTTCATAACTCTATAACTGTACATTCATAACTCCATTATTGTATATTCATAACTCCATAATTGTACATTCATAATTTTCGAAGCTCTATGTTCACAATTTTAGAGCTCTATGTTCATAATTTTATCACTATATGTTCATAATTGTAAGTTCATAATGTTAGAGCTCTTTGTTCATAATTCGATCAATAACTGTACATTCATAATTACATACTGTAGATTCATAATCTCATAACTGCAGATTCATAACTCTATAACTGTACATTCATAACTCCATAACTGTACATTCATAATCTTCGAAGCTCTATATTCACAATTTTAAAGCTCCATGGTCATAATTTTATCACTATATATGTTCATAATTGTAAGTTCATAATGTTAGAGCTCTGTGTTCATAATTTCATAATTGCATAACTGTATATTCATAACGGCATAACTGTACATTCATAACGGCATAACTGTACATTCATAATAAATAAAAAAAAATAACGCCGTTAACGGCAAAACGCGCGCGAAATTTTTTTTTTTAACTAAATGACGCGTTTTTTTTTTTAAAAACGACGTCGTTTTGTGCCCGTGTCCACAATTCAATGTGGACACGGGTCCAGGGCATAATTTGCCCTAACTTTTGGGCAGTGATTATCATTCATCAATTCCAATCAATCTTCATATTTCTGAATCCACGCCAAACATTCTGTTCACCGTCATGGCTGTCGCATCGAGCTCATGGAAGCAAGCAATGGTGCAGATCTCTCCGTACACATTCTCCGCCATTGGAATTGCAATCTCCATCGGCGTTTCAGTGCTCGGTGCTGCCTGGTATGGCGACATCTCTTCTATTTTCGCCTTCATCATTCATTAGGTTTCAATTCCAGTGTCTTATTTCTGCATTCCCCGCTTAACAATATGTTTTATTGGATTTTAGAGGAATATATATAACAGAAAGTAGTTTGATTGGTGTTGCCATCAAAGCGCCTCGCATTACCTCGAAGAATCTCATCAGGTGAATTTATTTTTATGTTCAAATTTCATCTTTTTAAAAATGTTGATGTTTGGTTTTGAGAGAAGTCTTTAATTTAGTATGCATGCGGAATATTATATAAGCATACCAGTTTGTGCTTGCATTTTTACTTAGCGGTTTCTACTTTCTAATCTGGTGTGAAATCAAGTTGGAAGGAACACACAGCATATCATGGATTTCTAGAAAATTTAACCACTTAAGCAACATGCAATTAATAGTCAACCAAAATTCTAAAAATTGTGGTCAATTTACAGTATGGAATTATTGTTAATTGATGATAGGCTTTACTGAACACAGCGGTGATAGTGCTGAATTGTGAGTCTTAGATAGAATTACTCAATTAACAATGTTGATGTACAGTAGAGATGTAGAGATAAGGGTTAGAGCTAAGAATCTCAACATGTTTAAATTAGCTGGTGTGAAGAAAAAAATATTGCAATTCAAGCATCTAATTGGATAATGGAATATAATTCTTTCTTCTTTTTTTTTTTGGAAATTTCAGAAAGGGGGTTATAGATCCACCAAGGTAGGAACCCTTACCAAATGCATGGTGACTAGAAAACCCTTGTTTATTGCACTTGTAGGCTTGCCCCATGTTTTATTTGTACCTAAGTTCTTGTGTTTAAGTTGGTGTAAGTTCTAACTGTTTACATTCCTAAGGATTAGCTGCTGCTCATTTAATGGCCTAGCTAAAGAAGTAATTTCAACTATATGGAGCTTCATTAACATTCATGTATTGGAGCATTCAATTGAATTGGAAACTCATACTGCAGCATTGATGAAGTGTTGCTAGTACTCGGATGAGATTCGCAGTCATACTAGCAATGAGCGTTTCTAAATGCTAATACTTGCGTGAATTTTCCTGGATTGTGTTAGTTCAAGTTCTTGCTCTTTTAGCATTGTGCCTAGATTCAGGTTGAGCTCTACATATTTTTCATAGATTGCTACCGTGTATAACCTTGTGGATAAATTTTCATATCTTCCATTTTAAATCTGATCATCTATTTTGTGGGACCCTGAAACCATTTGAGTTGCTCTACAGATTTTTCTATGCCTAATCTAAATATGATGTGGTCATAACTAGAGGACACTGATGACTGTTAGGCATGTTTTTACAAAGCATGAACCTGACATGTTAAAGACCATCTGATTGAATGTTTTATGATGTGTTTCTTCTAGGGTCCTCACTCCTCATGTTAAATCTCACAAAATGCTCCAATTTTAAGCTTTCTCTGTACCAAGGATCTAAAGTGGGCCTTTTTCAATATAATATAATTTCTTATATAATTATATAAATGTATGAAATATGAAGCTATATATGCAAAAGGATGTCTACCATATGTGCTTAAATTTCAAATATTATATATGTATTTTAAAGAATAGAAAAAGTAGACACACTGAAGAAAAAGGAGTATATTTTGCACTAATTCTAATATGGACTATGGAGTGTATTATTTAATCAAAATCTTGCAGCTTCTTTGCCCTCACAGTGTAATCTTTTGCGAGGCAGTTGCTATATATGGAGTTATTGTGGCAATCATTCTCCAGACAAAGCTTGAGAGTGTTCCTGCATCCCAGATCCATACACCAGAGTCTGGCTATGCAATTTTTGCCTCTGTCGGGATAATTGTGGGCTTTGCCAATCTTGTATGCGGGTGGGTAGGCTTGAATGCTTTTCCTCTTTATCCTTATATATACATACATGTCTTCATTTGTTTCCTAGATTCTTAACATCCACTGATCCACTTTCTCCATCTTCTAACAAAGGCGAAAGCAGCTGCGCTTTTATCTGATGCACAAAACTCAACACTCTTCATCAAGATTCTCGTGATAAGAGATATTTGGTAGAGCACTCGGGCTGTTTGGTGTCATCGTGGCCGGGAATTATCATGTTAGCACAGGCAGCTTGGCCATCCAAGGCATAGTGTAGTGAGCTCCCACCATTTGCATTTTTTGGTATGTTATCAAATTCTTGTTCACTATCTTTTATTGATTTTCTAAAATTACAATAATCTATAAGTTGTGAGAGAGTGAAAATCACTCTTACAGATTGGTTTTATTATTAAGTAATGTTTGGTGGTAAGTTATATCACTTTCTTCTCTTATGTAGTACTGTAGTAGTTTTCAAGTTCAAATACATTACTACATTTCACCAAACACAACAGATACACTGATTATAGTTCACAAATAAAATCTTTCAAAGTAGAAAATTTTCCCAATAATAATGGATGGTTTTTACATAATTCTTTGAGAATTAAGAATTAAACCTAAAAACTCAGATATAAAGTTTCATCAGGTTTATATGTCTTGAGAATAATAGCCAAGCCTTGAGTTGGGAGGGGGAATAATAATACTTAAACGGTGGCGTTTAGTTTGGGGCCATACTTTTCAGCTCTTTCATCAATCCAAGCTCTCATATCAGCCAAAACACGAGCCGCGTCCTCATCGGGCTCACCCTGGATCAGAGAATGGTACAGTCCTTCGTACAGCTTCAGCGACTTGTCCTCACTGCTTGCTTTGTCGTACAACATCCTCGATCCCGACGGGCTCGTGACGCCGTCGGCTGTCCCGTGCACCGTCAGAAACGGCGCCGTGACCTTGTGGAAGTTGTTCTGGACGTACTCCGTTTGCCGGGAGATCTCCCTCATGGTTCCCACTCTGGGCTTTCCGGTGTACCTTCTTGGATTTGCGGCGATGATTTTCAGCTTCTCCGTGTCCCTTATCGCCTTCACCACCATTCTGTTGTCCGGCATCAAGGCCCATGTATCCGCAAGCCCAAATAACAGTCCGTACACGAACAGATGCACCTTCAAAATTTCCAGATTATCTATCAGTATCAGATTCAGTGAAAAAATATTACTTAGTGGTAAATTAAACTTACCTTAGAGGGCTTCATTGGCTCAGGTATGACAAAAAGTGGGGCGGAGAAGATGATCCCAGTCCATGTATTGGGCTCGGACTGGAAATACATAAGCATGGTGACCAGACCGCCCATGGATTCCCCGAACAAGAAAGCCGGCAAATGCTTGTAGTCATCGCTATACCTCACGCTCTTGAAGAAGTGCAAGGAGGCGGCCGCCACCTTGTCCATCTCGCCGAGGTAGCACCGGATGCCGTCGGAGCGGCCGTGGCCGAGGAGATCGGCGACGAAGACGGCGTAGCCCCAGGTAGCGTAGTTGATACATATCTCCTGGAAGCACCATCCGGAGTCGGATCCGTAGCCGTGGGTCATGAAAACCGCGCCCTTTATCGGCTGGCTCTTCTCCAGCGGCAGAAACGACTGCGTGAAGAGTCTGCCGTTGGGGGTGTCGAAATACGACTGCGTATTGCGCACCCCCCGTGAGGGGTAGTACTCCTCCGCCGGCATGTCGCCCCAGTAATTAGGCGGCGGCACTGCTGCTTGCAGTTGCTGCGACGGCGACGGCGACGGCGACGGCGACGGCGACGGCGGTGCTTCCGACGGCATATTGGGTCGTTGTGAAGATCGAATGCGACCGGAGATAGGCAGAGTAGTGGGTGGACGGTGTGAGAAAGATAGGGTTGGGGATTTGAGATGATGGATTGAGGTGGGATTTATATAATTGTGGGTGGGTATTGAAGGAAAGTGGATTTTTGAAATTAAAATTCTCATAGTGATAGTGATATGAAGGTGAAATGTAGTGGGAGTGATGCTTGGGCTCAAAGATACGGAGTTGTTGGAGACGAGATTCCGTTTTCTTTCCTAATTTCTTTTGGTAAACAGAGTTGGTGGTAGGTATCTTTTCTTTTGTGGGGGTCCACTTAGTTTCGGTGCTGCTGCAATAACAATACTAAGAGCATCTCCAACCCATTCATCTCTAAAACATCAAATTTTTTCAGCAAATGTCACATCAGAAGGAATATTCTCAGTATATTCTCACACCAAATTTTATTCATCTCCAACCCATTTACACCAAAACATTAAAACACCAAACTTTTACACTGAAATAATTTTCTTTTTCAATTATTAGATCGAATTTAGTTAGTTTAATATAATTTAGTTTGAACTTAATTAGTTTAATATAAAATATAATTTGTAATGTAAATAATAATTTTTATTAACATTAATTTTTTATAACATTAATTATTTAAAAAAATCGAATTTAACAATATTTTTTAAAATCTAATTTATTCTACAATAATAATACAACATACAATATCTAATACATTTAATTACCGGAATTATTAAATCGTACCCACAAATGCTCAATCAATGCATTACGGAGGAAGTGAGAGTGGACTAGGAAATTATTAATTTTATTATATTTGTTCAAAATTGTGTTGTATTTTCTAATATTATTATTATGTCGTATGTATTTTAATTTTTATTATGATCTAGCCATATTTGATGTATGTCGTACGTATTTTAACTTTTATTATGTTCTAGTTATATTTAATATATTTGGAATTTTAATTAATATATATTCAATATTTTCGATCGTCTCAATGAGATCTTTAAAATGGTATAATTTTTATTTAATAATACAAAGTTTAAATATAAGTATTTAACAAAATAAAAAATTACATATAAAACAATTAAAGGATATACTTGGAATTATAAAAAAACAAGGACAAATGGGACATTTTGCATTATAGCGCGAATGAACAGTGCAGCGCCAAATATAGCGCTGCACTGTTCATTAACGCCATTTCTTTTGGTGTTATAGCGCGATGGCAACGCACATTGGAGGGTGAAATTTGAGGGAATGGTGTTTTGGGGATGGAATTTGCCCTCCCGTTGGAGATACCCTAAAGGCATCCTCATTTTGGTGTAGTTTTTGAAGAATTTTTGTAAATGTGATTAGGAAAGCGGAAATGGAAAGAAATAAAAATAAAACATAAAAACCAAAACAAAATAAGAAAAAGTAAATTAAAAAAGCAAAAACCAAAACCACCATCTGTCTCTTTCTTCAGTTGGGCCCACAAGTTGACAAAATCCCATATTAAGCAAAATCTCCAAAAAAAAATTCCAAACCTTCTCTCACTTCATTCTTTTTCATCCATGTAAGCAATTTTTTCTAAAACAACGCGAACAATCCCCTTATTGGGGATGCCCTAACTAGGCAAATTATTGTGGAGTACGATTCAAAATGATGTTTTTGAATTTTATGTGTGAAAATTATGAAATTTTTAGAGTAAGATAATGTACATTATAGGTTGGAATAATGTATTTTATGTGTGAGAATTATGAAATTTTTAGAGTAAAATAATGTACATTATAGGTTGGAATAATGTATTTTATGTGTTAGAATAATGAAATTTTTGAGTAAGATAATATACATTATGTGTTAGAATAATGTACATTATAAGTTATAAAAATGTATATTGCAACGGGTTGCGTGAAAAAAAAAATTATGTAAAACTTCATTTTTGGACCGTGGTTTACATAATAACTATTGTACTAACTAAAGTAAATTTGGCCGTATATTATAAGGAAATTATTATTGTGGACTCTAAGATTTATTCTCAAATTCTACCCACTCTCAAATTTTTTAGAGTAAATATCCAAAATGGTCCCTCAACTATAGCTAAATTCACAAATTGATCCTCGACTTTCAATTTTAATCAATTAAGTGCTTAACTTTGCAATTTTAACATGATTTGGTCCTTCGTCTATTTGACCGTGACCCCTGAGAATATATATGTAATTTCATCGCCGCCCGCCCTCATCCACTGTTGTAACACAGTCTATCGCCCAGCCACAAGCCACTGTCCAGCCGCCCTCATTTACTGCCATGACACACTCCACCGCCTAGCCTTCACCTATTGCCACGACACAATCCATCGCCCAAACACCATTGCATAATTCATCATTGCTGGCACTACAACCCAATTTGCAATCTTCATCAGGTCCAACGCCACAAACAAATTTGTTTGAGTCTACTGGGCGGCGCCACGATTCTCGTGTCCAACAAGAAGCGCGATTCAGGTCGGGCCAAGTACCGGCTCATGCACAAGGCCGCCGACGATAAAGCCTACCCCTGCGTTTACAAGTAGGAAGATCCGCAAGGGAAAGTCGGAATCAACCTCTCAAAAGACCTAATGGTGATCGCCGGCGAAACCCTCAAATCCAACATAACCACAATCGGCTCGCTTGTTCTCCCGCCGTCGAAGCAGCTCCTCTTCTTCTTCACCGTAATCGATCGGAAACTCTTCAATCCCAAATGGAAACCCTACATTCCCGACTTCAAACAGGCTTTCGAACACTTCTGCATCAACGCTAGCGGCCGCGCCGTCATCGACGATCTCCAGAAGAAACTGCAGCTCTCGTCGGAGCATGTGGAGACCTCCAGGATGACGCTTCACCGGTTCGGAAACACGTCGTCTTCTTTGCTCTGGTACAAACTCAACTACATTGAATCCAAAGGGAGGATGAAGAAAGGCAATAGGATTTGGCAGATTGCTTTCGACGGTGGATTCAAATGTAACAGTGCAATCTGGAAATGCAGCCGGAACCTTAAAAAATCGACGATGGACCATGAAATTACATATATATCCTCAAAAATCACAGTCAACAAACGGTCAAATAGACGGATGACCAAATCGTGTTTGTTGGTTTTTGGGGCCCAGGGAGGTCCAACACAACATTGGTCGGTGGATTCACCTTTCACAAAAAGCTCTAAGAAAACGAAAGAATAGTTGAAAGAGTAATCGGAAATGTGTGTCTTTTCTTACTAGGCATGGACTCCCCTTTCTTACAAGGGCGGAGGGGCCTTTATATAGTAGGCTCCTCTCCAGCCGAATCGAAGTACATTAAATATCGCCTTCAAGGCAAATTACACTATAAGACTGTTCGGGCGCTGTTACTGAATCGGCCAACGGCTCTTTGGACTCCCAACGGTCTATTTGGCCGAATCCTCTTGAATGTCGCATTGAGTGTTCCCCTAACGGCTCTTGGACCGACTTGAATGCTTCTTACCGGCTCTTGGGCCGAGTCTCCTTCCCCCCTTGGGC